GTGTGTGACTCAACAATCAATATTTGCACCAATAACTCATTACAGTTGTGACCGGGTGTGGAAGTGTGAATTGCTCATTACTCTATAATTTGTTCATGATTGTAGCCAAGTATAACACGTAAGTAACCATTCTACAGAATTCATTACCTTTGTAACTTGTGAGCTCATTACCTTTGTACCTAGTTCGGCTATCAAAACTTTGGGGGCCCAGTCCCTGGACCCATTACGTACCTCTGTAATCTGTAAATACCTTTGTAACTTGTCATGATTGTGACCAGACTTACCTGGAGTTCATTACCTTTGTAAATTGTGAGTTCATTACCTTTGTAAATTGTGAGTTCATTACCTTTGTAAATTGTGAGTTCATTACCTCTGTAACTTGCTCAGCTATCAAAACTTTGGAGTCCAGTCCCTGGACCAATTATGTACCTCTGTAATCTTTTGACTACCGCCCACAGGATGGGTATGGGGTGCATAATAAACATATTAAACTAACTTGAACATTATGTGCTTAATTGTCCACTTATTGAGGAATACAGAGACAGACAGTATAATAACCTATGTGACATGTCAAGATATCTTATTAATGAAAATAAGATACCAGATATACTAAGCAAATTTCCTAAATTTGCTTGTAACAGATAAGTAAACTGTAGATATAAACCAATATATACACCTGTTAACCTTTTTGGGGCCTAGTTCCTAGGCCTTTTGTGTATCCATATGCTCTTGCGCTACCGTCCACAGGATGGATATGGGGTGCACAATAAACTAGCCACTTCAGTGGCAAAATCTAAAAAAATCTGGTGGACAGAGACAGGATGTTCCAGAGAGGGGACACAGAAACAAGGGGTCACAATTGGAAGTTGAAGGTCCAGATGAGTCAAAGGGATGTTAGGAAGTATTTCTTCAGTCATAGAGTAGTCAGGAAGTGGAATAGCCTAGCAAGTGAGGTAGTGGAGGCAGGAACCATACTTAGCTTTAAGATGAGGTATGATAAAGCTCATGGAGCAAGGAGAGAGAGGACCTAGTAGCACTCGGCGAAGAAGCGGGGCCAGGAGCTGAGTTTCGATCCCTGCAACCACAGTTAGGTGAGTACACCACAATACGCAGCACACAATACACACCACACAATACTCACATCATACAATACACATACCACACAATACACACCACACTCCACACAATACACACCACAATACGCACCACACAATATATACCACACAACACACACCACACAATACACACCACACAATACTCACACCACAATACACACACCACATCGTGAGATGTATATTTGTGTATCTACAACTCAGTATATACACAGAGGTACATATTCGTGTACATATACAGGCGTTTATCTCCCGGTATGTATGCAAAGTATATATAAATAGTAAATATACTCAGTATGCAGTGTATATATGAATCACCGTAAGATACAATCAGCCTGCTATAATCACCTGTATGATTCGTTCCATTTATAATGTTTACGTAAGGTAACACCTGGTGTTGGTACTGTCAGCCAGATTGTTGCGGATATCAGACAGGTGGCACTGATACATATATATCTGATAACCAGGTGTTTTGATATTAATGATTACATGAACATTTATTAGCGTGATAGTATTTATGTGTGAAAATGTACGTATGATTACTGTATTCAGGGGAGGCGCTAAATCTGTAATTTTTATAGCGCCTAGGGAATGGAAGGCAGTTAGGTTTGATCCGAGAAAGGAGAGGGCAGCTCTAATTCTTCAGATCAAGAGCCCTTCATAAGCATCAAGGCACTCCTTTGAAGGGGAAAGTATGTATATATCACAGGGAAAGCTCTTGATTGGAGGAATGGCATAGTCAAGATGATTAAATGTCTCTAGTAATTAAGTTACCATTTAACTGTCCTGTTATCTACGTACGATTAGTTAGTCTTTGTATGGAAGTTTTATATAAACTGGTACATCAAAGTTTATTTTTTAAGCCACTAGAAGCATAGTTATTAAGTTCCTGAAATCTACCTGTAGGTCGTTCCGGGGGGTCAACGCCCCCTCGGCCTGATCCTTGATGAAGTCTCTCGGTTAGGATAATGAGGTAAAAAAAACTGTTAGGGTTTAAATTTTTAATGCTGAGAGACGTTTCGTCTACTAGGGGCTTTATCAATCTAACTGAGGCACGAGAAAAAAAAAAGTACTTAGGGAAAACAGTTAGGAGTGGTGGACGTAAGTGCATAACCATAATTTTTTAAAGGGTGAACCTGTGGAAGGCCTCAGTGTCGGCGACAACAACAGTAGCAGCAGTGATCACTGTTATTGCAAGTTTCTGTGGCATGGGGTTAATTATTATAAATTATGTTTATTTAGAGTCTAGTAAGGCTTTTGATAGAGTACCGCACCACAGACTTAAAGAAAGTGGCAGCTCATGACATTGGGGGAAAAGTGCTGTCATGGATCAAGTCATGGTTCAGAAACGTGCAATAACGAGTGAATGATGCTGCTGCTGTTGTCGCCGACACCAGTTTCCATTGTGCTGATTTCATTTTTGCTAAATGGCTGTTTACTAACTAGAATCATCTTTTGCTTGACCTTTTTATAAAGCTTTTTCGGTGGCAATCTTTTTAATTGTGCAGTGATGATGCTGTTGTTTTAAGTATTGTGGTCAGTAGTCTGAGTGTACGAAGAAATACTGACCCTACGCCGGGTCAAAATGGTCACTGAGAAGTGTACCCCTAAAGTTTACCCCTAAACCTAAGGTACAGGTTTAGGGGCATACTATGAATTCTAGTATATTTCCTTAGATAACCGAAAGCGTGAGTACCCTGGGGCCTTTCTCCTTTACATTTTATGCACTGAGCTAGATTGTTCTATACCTGGAGAGGGTTTCGGGGGTCAACGCCCCCGCGGCCCGGTCTGAGACCAGGCCTCATGGTGGATCAGAGTCTGATCAACCAGACTGTTACTGCTGGCCGCACGCAACTATTTTCTAAGAAATTAAAAGTTTTGTCAAGAAAAAAATTTTTAATAGCGTGCCACCATTAAGACAATATTTTCGTGTTGTGAGGCTGAAGGAACTGACGTCGACATTTCATTTCGTACCGTTAACCTTACCCTTCTATTCTCCGGGTGAGCATTTTCCCTGCTAATCCTGCCTGCTCTTTCAGTTTTTACAACAGCCTCCTGCATGATACTGAATATTACCCCATTCCAAACTACCTTTCCTCCATTTCCCCCCAAACTACTTCTTAAATCACAACCAAAACTTCGCCTTGAAGCCAAACATGAGGCCTTAAGCTGTATTGATAACTTAGTCACACAGCACACACTCTCGCAAATTATTTACGTTGATGGTTCTGTTCACCAATCCACTGGTGCAGCTGGTAGTGCTGCTGTTGTCGTACAGAGTGATGGCTCTCTTAAAGAAATTGGAGCACGCATCAATAAAATTTGGGGCCCCTTTCCCTTCAGACAGGACTGTTTGCCATACTCCTTGCACTGAAATGCATCTATGTATCAAAAATTGACAGTTTAATTGTAACTGATTCTCTGTCATCCATAAATGCTCTCAACTCATTAAGCATAAATTGTGGCATGCTTGTGTCAGAAGCCAGACACAGGTATGGTAGGATTGTGGACAGTGGAGTCAGAGTGCACATGCTGTGGATTCCATCTCACATTGGTTTCAGATGCATGATAGAACTGATAAATTGGCTAAGCTGTATGCTTTCAAAGAGGGAGTAGATTACAATCTTGGCTTGTCAGGTAGTAGTTTGAGAACAATAATACGAAAAGAACTTCAGCTGAATTTTATGGACTTAAGGCTCAGGGAGATTGACACCAGTGAGTCCATCTATCATCATTCTATCATGCAGGAGGAGCCACATGTCTATGGTGCATCCAACAAAATAAGCAGACTCTTGGATGTCACTACCGCCCGGCTCCGGCTGGGTTACAAGTATCTTTGGCAGGTTAAATCACCACCACCAGATGTAGACCAAACGAAATGTAAACTTTGCCAGATGGATTATTGTCACACCTTGCGTCATTATGTACTGGAGTGTGATAAAATTAATGAATTTAGAAACAACTCACTCAGAAGTGTTCAAGAAATGGCTAAGTATTTTATCCACAGTGGTATATTACAGACCATTCTGGAGAAATACCCTGACTTTGCTAGCTGTAAATAAAGCATTACCACATATGTGCATGTGTGTGTGTGTGTGTGTGTGTGTGTGTGTGTGTGTGTGTGTTTGTGTGTGTGTGTGTGTGTGTGTGTGTGTTTGTGTGTATGTGTGCATGTGTGTGAGTGTGTGAGTGTGTGTGTGTGTGTGTGTGTGTGTGTGTGTGTGTGTGTGAGTATGAGTGTGTGTGTATGTGTGTGTGTGTATGAGTGTGTGTGTGTGTGTATGAGTGTGTGTGTGTGTATGAGTGTGTGTGCGTGTGTGTGTATGAGTTTGTGTGTGTGTGTGTTTATGTGTGTGTGTATGAATTTGTATGTGTGTGTGTGAGAGAGAGAGACTCAGCAATCAACATTTGCACCAATAACTCACTACAGTTGTGACCAGGTGTGGAAGTGTGAATTGCTCATTACTCTAAAATTTGTTCATGATTGCAGCCATGTATAAACGTAAGTAACCATTCTTACAGTATTCATTACCTTTGTAACTTGTGAGTTCATTACCTTTGTAACTTGTGAGTTCATTACCTTGTACCTAGTTCAGCCATCAAAACTTTGGAGCCCGGTCCCTGGACCCATTGTGTACCTCTGTAATCTGTAAATACCTTTGTAACTTGTCATGATTGTGACTAGACCTACCTGAAGTTCATTACCTTTGTAAATTGTGAGTTCATTACCTTTGTAAATTGTGAATTCATTACCTCTGTAACTTGCTCAGCTATCAAAACTTTGAGGCCCAGTCCCTGGACCAATTATGTACCTCTGTAATCTTTTGACTACCGCCCACAGGATGGGTATGGGGTGCATAATAAACATATTAAACTAACTAACATGATACTGTGTGTGTACGTCAGTGTATGTGTGTGATACTGTGTATGATCGTCAGTGTGTGAATCTCCCCAGTTGGAAGTGCTCCATTAGGAAGACCCAGAGTGCCACAGCTACACCCACTAATAAGATTAGGTAGGGCCCCTGAAGGTGTGCCAGAGACAGTGACTTTTCGCGTGACTCGGGCTTCTTAGAAGTCTGAAATAATATCAAACAGAATTATTAATAAAAATAGAGAAACATACGCAGTTGAATAAGAAATTATAGAAGACGCGGCATCGTGAGCAAAGATCTGCTCCTCTATTTACAAATGGGTATAAAACATGTAGCAAAATGACTTTCTCTTAAAAATATGTTCTAATCATATTCTTTTATATTTATGGAGCTTATTTTTACATACAAGTTTGCTTACCTTGTTGTACATTTGCTTTACGGCATCCATGGAGTCGTCATACCATTTTTGTACTAAGCCGGCTTCTACTAGTGACTGAATAGCCCAATCAAACTTGTACTTCCAAGGGGTCCTCTTCCTGAAGAAGAGAGCTAAATTGGCTTTATAGATCTGCTCTTTCACAAAATAGACGTCATCATAGTGTCCCGTAATATAATAGAGGAGGTGAAGAAAAGAGAAGCTCTCAAGATGTGCGTGGGCGCCCTGGAGGAGGAGTTTGATGCAGCCTTCCTCTCCAGCGAATTCATTTTCCTCTGAAGGTACCATGTCGAGCTTTCTGCCCAAGACTGACAGCGTCGGGTGGGTGGAAGTGGCCAGCGCCTCCGGCACGAACTCTCCGTAGTCTAGCATGCAACACCTGCAATATATAACCTCTGGAGCAGCTCGAGACATTAAATATCATGTAACAGTAGGCAGCTTGTCATAATGTGCAACGCCTGCATCAATATGCAGTCTCTACAGCAGCTTAGGGTAGGTGGAACATCATGTAATAGCAGGAAACATGCCACAATGTGCAACACATTCATCAACATGAACCTATGCAAGCAGCTTGGGACATCTAGAACGTCTGGCAACAACACGCAGTCCCTATATCAAAATTATAAAAAGAGAAGAGCAAATGCAAATGGTCCACTGTAGGCAACAGACATCCTTTGATAAATGAAATTAGAAGGTATAACAATACCGATAATATCCTATAAGTCTGTTGTAGAAACTGAATGCTGTTTCCTGATGTTCCAGGTGTCCCAAGCTGGCATTTCCATACGTTCCAAGACCTAAGCAGAGGTAAGCAGATAAGGGTTTAATCCAGTTAGGAGTGGTCACAGTAAGGCTTTGGTAAACGCTGTATATGTATCAACGCGTCCTTCTAAATTTTAAGTTGATTGGAGACTAATTACATATCGAGTGCACGTAGACAAACCTGTATGGACTCCGTGCCAGTTCCTGTATAGTACGTATCTTGGTTGGATAGACAGGGACAGTAAGGACAGCGATAAGGTTACAGGTATAGGATAGCACCAGGATGTAGGAAGTCAGCCACCAGCCTGCTAGGAAGATCCTTAGTGACCATTCCTGGGGCGCTCGCGTCATCTGGCTCATCAGGATCTGTCATGCCCACAATTACATACTTTTATTCTTTAAAGTCACACTCCTGAGAAGTGTGTGTATGTGTATATATAAATATACATACACATATTTGCATTAACAGAGTCTTTCGATTTTAGTTGCGCTCATGTTACTATTCCCTCGCCATATGAGTAATTATTCACGCGCCGGAATTACCTGCAAGATTGTGATGAAGGAATGTAGGAGAGAAGTAGGATGATGGTTGGTATGTGTGAATAAGTAGAATACCAGAGACAGTATCACCACCATGCAACCAACAAGTAACCACAGCCTCGTACTGAAGGGGTAGATCAAGTTCCTCCAGTGGGGCAGTGGCGGCGGGGTTGCTATGCCGAATCCGTAGCTGAAAATCATCAAATAGTAACCAATTTTTAACCTGTGAAAAATATCATGTTGATCTGTCTCATTTACAACCTTGCCAACCTCATTTACAGTTCCTTCAAAGTCACTACCTAATTACCCATGTTCATGTTTTATTTAATAAACATTATTTTGCCAAACATGAAAACTTAATCATAACTCCGCGAATACGTCTGAGCATCACGAAATTATTACATTTAATTTTTATTACATATTAACTAAATTTAGGCTGACCTTAAATTGTGAATGACTAAACTTATTGTATTACATTAATTTTCATTTTATTCTCAGGGAAGTGCTAAACCTGTAAGGGTCATACGGCGCCTAGAGAAAGTGAAACATTCAGGTTCGATCCAAGGAAGAGGAAGTTAAATCCCGTTCCTTTTATCAAGAGCCCCTCACAGGCATTACGGACTCTTCCTCGAGGGAATAATAAATAAATAAATGCATACTATGTTAATTCAGGTGAATATATCAATCAGTACATATAGGACTTTTTTCAATTAGTTTACTAGGCACGACTTACCCACCCTTCATTATAATAAGGAACTGAGTAGTCGAAGTACTTCGAGCGTTCTTCAGTGATGGCGAAGTAGTTAAAGGTGAGATCCTTCTCCTTCCTCCAGATGTCTCCCAACATCCCCACCCATGTCCCGTTCACCAGCTCACCCCACCTCTCTGGCAATTCAAATATTACTCTAGCAACCATCTGCTGCTGACTGTATGTATACTACTTACTACCTGGTGCCACCTCTCTATATACATATATGTACCCTTCCACCTGGTGCCACCTCTCTATATACATATATGTACCCTACCACCTGGTGCCACCTCTATATACATAATAAACCATACCCCGGCCGGGATTGAACCCGCAGTCAGAGTCTCAAAACTCCAGCCCGTCGCGTTAGCCACTAGACCAGCTAGCCACAATAAGATTCGTCCAACTAGGTATATTTCTACACCATAGGAAGGTTAGCACAGGCACCACTGTGACCACAAATGCAAGTTTTTACAGACGAATCTCCAGCTAGCGTGGCCGTGACGAACTCTAGCTCAAGTCCCTTCACTGCCGTCAACATGACATGGTTTGTTTGCAATCGTGTCATTACGATTTCGTGAGTCATATACATAATATGTACCCTACCACCTGGTGCAAATTTTCTAGATATTACGCTTGTTTTCACTTGGTGCCCTTTTTCCCATATGTTATGTTTTATTTACCAGCTGGTACCATCTTCCTATATGCATATATACTGATTAAATGAGCAAAATAACACATACATGTTTGTGTATAAACTAAATATAATAGCTGCAATAACAATAAAATTGTTTAAAAATACTCGAAAGTATAAAAAAAAAAGTTAAAATATTCGAAAAATTTCTTTTTTTTTTCACTTGAAGTTTAATAAAGTATAGTCTCACTGTCACTGGCTCGACGAGTCATGGTGATGTTGAAGCCTAGCCAGCCACCTATAGTGTCTGTCATTCTCTTGCCCACTCCATCGAACGTACCATCAGGGTACCTGAAGACATAGGGCATGTCTCCCTGGTCACTGGAAACATGTAGCGTTGCCCCGTACAGTGATGAAAACCTGTCCTGGAAAAGATTACCCCAGACGGTGAACTTGATCCCCCACTCTCCCAGCAGCACCAACTTCTCTGGGTGGTAGGGACGCCAGCTGTACACGCTGTAGGTTAGGGATGATCTGCTGATGTTATGGTGGTATTTGGGACAGAGGAGCGCTGCTGATGGCGTCTGTTGAAGGAGGGTCGTCTGGAGGAGGTAGGAGGCGTGGCAGTGTGTAGACATACTCACTAACACTACAGCAGAAGGTGACCAACGTCCAGGCGGTGACAGCAACTCCCATGGGACACCTCCATGACCTCCATCCATTAATACCACCATTGTATCTGTATATGAACACTGTAATGACAACAGTATTATCTCTATCTTTTATCCTGTCTAGCATATTCTAATTTTAACTTTCTCTCTCTCTCTTTACATAGGGTTCTACGAGGTTTAGGGATCTCTTTCTCTACTTTTCTCAACTTTCCCGTCCTCTTGTTCTTTTCCACCTTCTCCCCTCACTTCCTACTTTTCCTTTTTCTTCCCTGCCCTCTTCTCTCCCTTTCTCTCGTACCTTTCATAATGCTGTTTAAACAATCCGACAAATTATATTGTTCACACTTACTTGGAGACAATTGGAGTTGGTTGACGTATTCTTGTTCCAGCTTCTCGTCCTGTCCGTTACTCATTCTTCCTATTCCGTCCAGCTGGTGTTCCTTCACCCCCTCTGTTCCATTCATTTGGTGTTCCTTGACCCTTTCTTTTCCATCCAGCTGTTCCTTCACTTCTGTTCCATCCAGCTGTTCCTTCACCTCTGTTCCATCCAGCTGATGAGTAATCTCTGTTCCATTTAGCTGGTGTTCCTTACATTCCTTCACCTCTGTTTTATCCAGTAGATGTTCCTTCACCTCTCTTGTTCTGCCCAGCGGTTCAGGGTACTGCTGGTTTCTCTTCCTTATATTCCCCACTTTGCTAGTATAACTATTTATAAGAAAATATGGGGCTGAAAGCCCGGCTAGAAGTCTGTTGATAGTGACTTTACTTTCCACTTGAGCGTCCACAATAAGCGACAGCATCCTACCGGAGAGTGAGCCTTCAACAAGATCTTTAAGGATCTTAGCTAGAACTTCCTGCAAGATTGAAGATTCAAGGCTCAGTGAACGGGTAAAGTTAGCCAAGAACTGGGCTCTAGGTTCAGTCCTAGCAAGGCTAGGATGGACAGCCAAGGCTGTAAGTACCACGCTCATAAATAGTAACATCATTTTCACTCCTAAGCAGTTGGGACCATCCTGGAAAATAAGTAAAATCGAAGAGGATCTTCAATTTATACCAGCTGCTGTATGACCCCTACGGGTTTATTGCTATCCCATGAATATAATAAATAAAGTTGCAAATTTTCATTTAAATTCAATCATGCCATTATATTTTTAATTCTACTTGTTAAAGCCTTTCCCTCTGTATAAAAATATTCGACACTACCAATTTGTGCATCTGAGATCTGTATAAAAGCTATGAGATGGTAATTGTATACCAGTTTAAAGTTTGAAGCATTAATTTTTTAAATAAAATTTGTCAAGAATGGTTTTGAAAACCGACTAGTTGAAAAATTGAGACACTTATGCAACATATGGGAATCTTTATTTAAGAAATGTTTCACCACACAGTGGCTTCATCAGTCCAATACAAAGTAGAAATGGGTAAGGAGAGGAGGAGTTTGAGGTAATCAGTCCCTCAACCTGGAATCGATGTGTTCAGTCCATCACTCTTGCAGGAGGTACATCATAGGGCCAGAGAGGTGGCTTACATACTGCAGTCAGGTGAGTCGAAGCGGAGGAGGCGGGATCACAGTGGGACCTTCCACTAGTGTAAGTAGGTCTTCGTTCAAGGGTTGGACAAGCGTTGAAGAAGTCTTTGTACCAAGATCCCATGATGTTGCAGTGTCTGACATATGTGATGAATGATGGAAGGTCCCACTGTGATCCTGCCCCCTCCGCTTCGACTTGCCTGACTGCAGTATATAAGCCACCTCTGGCCCTATGCTGTACTTCCTACAAGTGATGGACTAAACATATCGATTCCAGGTTGAGGGACTGATTACCTCAAACTCCTCCTCTCCTTACCCATTTCTACTCTGTATTGGACTGATGAAACCACTATGTGGCAAAACATTTCTTCAATAAAGATTCCCATATGTTGCATAAATGTCTCAATTCTTCAAAATTTGTCAAATTGGCACCTACAAAATCCAGTTACACTCCAGACTTTCCTCTTTTTAAACTTTAAAAGCTACATGAATCTTCCAGGAAGTAAGTTCCATACGTCGAACCCAGGTCCTTTTGATTGTGAACCAAATGTTTTATCACTGAACAGCCCTTGTGGCTCAGTGCTTCTTTTTGATTATAATAATAATTATCACTGAACTACTGTTGTTCATGTAAAACAAATATGAACCTCTGTGTTTATTTTTTTTAACACGGCCGATTCCCACCAAGGCAGAGTGACCCAAAAAGAAAGAAAAAACTTTCATCATTGAACACTCACCATCACTCATACATAATCACTGTCTTTGGTGAGGCACTCAGATACAACAGTTTAGATGTACCTCCAAACTGCCAATATCCCAAACCCCTCCTTTTAAAGTCCAGGACTCAAATCCAGCTAATCGGTTTCCCTGAATCCCTTCACAAAATATTACTCTGCTCACACTCCAACAGCTCGTCAGGTCCCAAAAACCATTCGTCTCCATTCACAGACCAGGCCACAGGGGTGTTGACCCCCATTATTATTATAATCAAACAGAAGCGCTAAGCCACAAGGACTATACAGCGCTGCTGTTGACCCCCAGAACCCTCTCCAAGTATACAAACCCTTTACCCCCTCCCTCCAACCTTTTCGAGAATGACCCCTGCCCCGCTTTCCTTCCCCTACAGATGTGTGTATACGTATGAATATAAATCTCTCAGCATATATACAACACAGAAATATACCCTTCTCAGTGTCTGTGCAACACAAATGTAAACCTCTTACCAGCAAGACTTCTCACCTATGACTGACATACTGCTACCCTGAAATTTGTCATGAACCCATGTGATTTGTTCTATCTTGACATTCAATCATTTTCTCATGTTTCTGGTTTGACATTCTTTGTGAATATAATAGTAATAATAATCCCACACCTTTGACTGTAAGTTCATTACATTTCATATTTTTGTACAGGACAAGAAATGCCAAGGAGATTAATCACATTTTTTTTAAACTGGGTAATGAGATAGTGATTTTTTGAGTGGTTTGATTCACATTCATCACCAGAAGAAAATATTCAGATTGGTTAAGACAAATTGAATATCTGACTAGGGACATTATTAATGTGCTGCTACTCTATTCTATACAACTGATGCTTTTAATAGTGAAACATGTATAAGCTATGTTTCCCTGTCATTCTTTCACACAGTATAGGTTTCTTAAATCAAGTAATGAAATCTGTCAGCCTAAGCTAAGACTTTAATATGACAATGAGGATATTGTCAAGTCTTCTGCTGTGGGTTCATTAGCTACAAAGCTTCCAAAGCTTTGTTTCAGCATATCTAATTACCTTTACATGGGAATTACTATCTCTCAGGATGACCTATCTACACACACAAGAAATTAAATTTAAAATATCATCTTGCACTAGCTTTGTTTGCTAGTTAGTGTCCTCTCAGCAAATTGTTCAACATCCATGGAATAACCCTAAAGTTCCAGTCTTAACTTTAAATCTACATTATTTAATTATAATCATGTATTGAAGAAACTTCTTAAAAAGATTAGACAGATACTATTAGAAACCTTTTCCTTAACCAGCTTGTATATTTGATTTTATTCTGTGTAAGAAATAAATATTACTCTATTAGGCCTATGCTTAGACACTTTTGCATCTCTCCATCTTTCTTCCCCATCCCTAACCCTTCACGTCCTTCTTCCCTTTTCTCTTTCCATAAACCTTACCACTCATGGGTAGGCAACCCTTCATCTGGGAAGCTTAAAATAATTTCAGATTATTACATTAGATTTTATTACGAACTTGCTGGGGCTGTAGGGGTCATACAGTGTTTTAGATATTTTCAAGATTACAGTTCATTTTGGATTTTGTGGCTTACCTTGTAGCTCTATGAAGGAAGGTAATTCTGAGCTTTATGCAAAAAAAGATAAATACAACCATATCAGTAATCCAAAACTAGATTATAAAAGGCAGCCATTAAAGGTAAAATGAACAAAAATAACTAAGTCTGGAGGAATATATTGTGGTACCAGATGGTTAATGACTAGATAGACAGCAGTTAATTAAGAAATCATTTTAACACTTCCATAAATTGGCAAAAATAGATATTTGCAGTTAAAAAACAGGAAATCCTAAAATTAAAACACCTGAATATCTACATAGGTATTTATTAAATCCAATCAACTACAAAAGGCAGATTAAATAAACATTTTTGTTATTGCACATTATGATGATTTCTCTATGTATTGAAAAATGCTACTAAAATAAATCACATTAAGAAATGGGACAATTATACACAAACTGTAGAGGATGACTAGAGCCTCAGCAAGAGGTACGAATGTGTCATAGCACAATTCTAGCTTTCATCACAATAACATAAGATTTAATGACTGTAGCATCATCTCATACAGCATCTACATGATCACAATATATCTTAATTTTATCAGCAATTTTGTAGTTTAATCTAAAATAAGTTTTGAAAGACTACAATGATACATTGAAGTCACCTGTATACTGTTATCGAAGGATACATTGCCTTCAGTATCAAAATATTTAACAATTGGAGGCAGCACTTTTACAACTACAACTACTGTAACCAATTAGTATCAGAACCAGCTGACTTTGACCCTGCCAGTCACATCGATTTACCTTGTGGAGGTCATTCTGCTCTTACTGCAGTCAACAGGTGACAGCGGCAGTTACTATGATACTATGTATCGACAATCTCATGAAAATTTTATTTGTATTATTAACCTGGAGGGCTGGTAACCCAGGGTAACCCTAGAAAGCCACTGTGTCTGGTTTATTTCCACTGGGGTCCTTTGATCATTTCCTGCAGGATGAGATTCACAACAGTTAGTTAACAGCCAGGTACCTACTTACATTTCCATCTATGTTGGGATCTAACCCAGGTCAACCCAGGCAACAATTTCTTTGGATTACACCTGAATGCTTCACCCCTTGTTTTTGTCAGTCTAAATAGTGGAAACAATTACTGATTTGTCAAAATTAGCTCTTTGAAGACCACAGTAAAAACCACTTGCCTCTTCTTTACCTTCAATTGTTAAGACAACAGATGTGCAACTAAATACAGC